TAGCCGGGGCTGGGCCAGATCTCTCAAGTAATTGGGCAATCTTCCAGTGCTTTCCATGGCACGCTAGCAGGGAGCTGGATTGGAAGTAGAGCAGCCAGGATTTGAACCGGCACTCATATGGGATGCTGGCACTGCAGATGGTGGCTTAATCTGCTGTGCTCGGTGCCATACCCTTAATTATTATTTTAATTGTTTATACTTGTGAGGTACAGTGTGATAATCCAATACATGTATTCAAGAAGTGATGATCAAATCTCATTAGTCAGCATTTCCATCTCAAACTTTTTTTTTTAAGATTTATCTTATAGAGAGCGAGAGAGACAGAGACAGAGTTGGGGAGGGGGAGATCTTCCATTCACTTGTTTGGCCCCCAAGATGGCCACAACAGCCAGGGATAGGTCAGGCCAAAGGCGGGAGTCAGGAGCTTCATCTGGGTCTCCCATGTGGGTGCAGGGGCTCAAGCACTTGGGCCATCTTCTGCTGCTTTTCCCAGGCCATTAGGGAGCTGGATCAGCAGAGGAGCAACCTGGACATGAAGCAGCGCTCATATGGGATGCTGGTGTCCCAGGCAGTGGCTTTACCCGCTATGCCACAATGAAAGCCCCCTCAAACATTTTTAAAATTTTTCCATTTCCTTAAACATTTTTTAATTTTGAAATTTGTTTAATTTATTTGAAAGACAGAGACAACAGAGATCTGCCACCTGCTGGTTCACTCCCCAAATGCCCACAATAGCCAGGGCTGGGCCAGGCTGAAGCCTGGAACCTAGAACTCAATCTGAGTCCCCTGCATCAGTGGCAGGGACCCAACTACTTGAGCCTTCATCTGCTGCCACCTAAGTGGTACATTAGCACGAAGCTGGATAGGAAGCAGAGCTGGGATTCTGATGTGGGATACAGGCACCCCAAACAGTAACTCAACTGCTATGCCAAATGTCTACTAAATATTTTTTTAAATTTTGATTAACACTCAAGTGATTATTATATCATTTATTCTTACATTTATTTATTTATTTATTTATTTTTTGACAGGCAGAGTGGACAGTGAGAGAGAGAGACAGAGAGAAAGGTCTTCCTTTGCCGCTGGTTCACCCTCCAATGGCCGCCGCGGCCGGCGCGCTGCGGCCGGCGCACCGCGCTGATCCGATGGCAGGAGCCAGGAGCCAGGTGCTTTTCCTGGTCTCCCATGGGGTGCAGGGCCCAAGCACCTGGGCCATCCTCCACTGCACTCCCTGGCCACAGCAGAGGGCTGGCCTGGAAGAGGGGCAACCGGGACAGAATCCGGCGCCCCAACCGGGACTAGAACCCGGTGTGCCGGCGCCGCAAGGCGGAGGATTAGCCTAGTGAGCCGCGGCGCCGGCCCTATTCTTACATTTATTAACATTGCTTTTAATAAAGCTGGGGGGCCTGTGCTGTGGCTCAGTGGTTTAATGCCCTGGCCTGCAGTGCCTGCATCCCATATGGGCGCTGGTTCGGCACCCGGCTGCTCCACTTCCCATCCAGCTCTCTGCTGTGCCCTGGGAAAGCAGTAGAAGATGGCACAAGTCCTTGGGCCCCAGCACCCACGTGGGAGACCCGGAAGAAGCTCCTGGCTCCTGGCTTCGGATCGGCACAGCTCCAGCCATTGCGGCCAACTGGGGAGTGAACCAGCAGATGGAAGACATTTCTCTCTCTCTCTGCCTCTCCTCTCTCTGTGTAACTCTGACTTTCAAATAAATAAATAAATCTTTAAAAAAATTTTAATAAAGCTGGATGGTAGGTACACAATACTTAACTGTATTTTTGCAATATTTATGCTCCTTTGTACTTTATAATTTTGCAATATTTTTTATTCTTTGCATTTATCTGTATTTTGCTATATTTAATTATAGAAAGGATCTATTTTTTAATCTTGGATACTTCTAAAAGGTTATCTGACATCACTTGTTTAAATTGTAAATACACAAAACAAAAAAGAAAAATTGTAGGTACATGTGTGCTCTTTTTTTGAAAGGCAGAGTGACGGGGAGAGAGAGAGAGGTCTTCTAACTGCTAGTTCACTCTCTAAATGTCTGCAGCAGCCAAAGCAGGGTTAGGCCAAAGCCATGACCCAGGAACACCATTCCAGTCGCACAACAGATGGCAGGAACCCAAGTACTTGGGCCTCTGCTGCCTCCCAGGCACATTTGCAGGAAGCTGGATGAGAAGTGGAGGCAAGACTCGATCCCAAGCACTCTGATACCAGATGTAGAGATCTCAACTCACTGCGCGACAGCACCCAGCCCTGCATGTACTCTTTGATCCAGCAATTCCACTCCTACAGAGAGCCTGACACCTCTGGGCAAAACCTTCCATGGGGTGTTGGTTTAGAATAGCGACTTCCTGGAAGCAAAGTAAATGCCCAGGACTAGGATGAAATAGGATAAACTAGTGTATGTCTATTTAATAGCTATATAAAATCCCGCTGCGGGGGGAATCATGATCTATTCAACCATCTTCCTGAGATGGTTCAAAATATATGGATATGAAAAGGTGTCCAGGACATGAGAGAAAAGCACAAAAGCCAAAGTGTGGCGAATGTTCTGAGAGCAGATCCTGTTCATTCTGTTTCAGCTGGCTTCCTCTGACACTGCTCTGGCTGGGGGGTGGGGGGACCCTCATCACTGCCTGGTGTGGAGAAAGGTTCATGGTCCCTAACCGGGTGTGTTGGCACCTGAAGAGGTGGGCGGGCTCATTATTGCATCATGGCGGTGAGAGACCCTGGCCCAAGGTCTCATCCTGCCAGTGTGTACACAGGTACTCTCAGACTCTGGTTCTTCATTTACTTAAATTTGAGTTTGGAAATGTAAGAATTAAACTGTGTTCTGATGCACCCACACCGCTTGGTACATGCCTGTTACTGTGCCTACAGGAATTTAAATTTAAAAACTGAAGCCAAAAATAGGGCTCCAAATTTCTTGTACTTGTCGTGGATCAGCATCACACATTGTGTGTGTGTGTGTGTGTGTGTGTATGTTATTCATGATGAATCCTTTTATTAACAGCTCACATTTATCACTTAAGACAAAGCAACCAGGGTGGCCATTGTGGGTGCAGTGGATTAACTTGAGGCTTGGGACACCTGCATCCCATTTCAGAATATCTGGTTCAAATCCTGGGTACTCCACTTCCCATCCAGCTTCCTGCCAGTGTGCATCCTGGGAGGCAGAAGATGATAGCTCAAATACTTGCATCCCTGCTATGCATGTGGGAGACCCAAAATAAGTTCTGGGCGCCTGGCTTCAACCTGGCCTATCTTGGCTGTTTTGGGTATTTGGGGAGTGAACCAGCAGATGGAAGATCTCTGTCTCTCTGTTTCTTTGTCTCTATCTCTCTGTATGTGTGTATCTCTACCTCTCAAATAAAATGAAAATATATTTTTTTAAAAAGAATAAAGCAACAACCAAAAAGCATATCATTTTTCAATGGTTCATGAAATGAGGCTTCTGCAAAACTGAGAAGGAAGAGGCACACAAAGCCCCACTGGCCTTCCTGGGTTTCTGTGACTCCCAAGAATGCTGTCTAATGCATTTCCTTGCCCAAGTATTCCCGCCCCCACTCAGCTCTGTCCAGCAGTTTCATCCTGCCTCCACCTCAGCCTGGGGGGCTTTGTGATTTCACATCATGGCTATTAGCCTGTTGGGGTTCTGATCATCCCTGTGGCAATTAGCCCTGAAGAAGAGGAAGGGCACCTTGTTTGGGCACCTGCACAACAAAATTGACAGACATACAGTTCGGGCTGTGTGACTGCCCGGATCCACATCACCTTTGCTAAATGCTGAATTGGTGGTGTGACAGCCTGTTGTACTCAGGACCCTGCATCCTGGTCCAGACTTACCCGAGTCCTCTGACGCTTTATTCCCCAACAACTTCCCCCATAACTTACTGGTCCCCAAATATGCCAGGGCTTCTTGGGCTCTGCACACCATAGAAGAAGAATCTCTCCCAAACTTGGTGACGTTATGGAAGATCATTTTCCAAGGAGCCTGCCTGGCTCACGTGTGACACTCTCAACGTTGCCTTGTGATCACAGTCTGTTTGGCCAACTGTCACTGACGGCCTGACCCTCAACCTCACGGAGCTGACAGTCTAGCAAGGAAGATCAAATGAGATAAATAGCCACACACATGATCATTTAAAAACAGTGGTGATGCGCGTGATGAAGGAGAGGTCAAGGATGCTGTGAGCCCCGCCTTAGCTGAGTCTGCAGCCCTAGGGAAGTCTTCCTGCCCAGGGCGCTGACAGCTGCAGGTTCAATGGCAGCTTGCCAGGAGGAGGGGGAGGAAGGATTTGAGGAAAGTTTGTTTGAAATTCCAGCATAGCAAAGTGCAAAGAAAGAGAACAAATTCAAGACATATTGATTTGAAAGAGAGACGGAAAGAGAGGGAAAGATCAAGAGAAAGATCTTCCATTTGCTGTTTGATTCCCAAATGGCCTCAATGGCCAGGGCCGGGTGAGGTGAGGCCAAGAGCCTGGAACTCCACCCAGGTCTCCCACATGGGTGCAGGCTTTGGGCCATCTTCCTCTGCTTTCCCAGGCACATTAACAGGGAGATGAATCGGAAGAAGTGTAGCTGTGACACAAACTGGCATTCACATGGGATACCAGTGTTGCAGGTGGCACCTTAATCCGCTGGGCCACACCAGTCCCAATACACATATCTTAAGGGTACCTTTGTTGAGTTTTGACCAATGCATGGGCTTATGTAACAAAAACACCTATCAAAAGACACAAAATATAGCCACAACATTACCAGAGAAGGGCGGGGCAGCAGGGTTATTTCTCTGTAGTCTCTCAGAGCCGTCGCACAGCCTTCAACTCGTCAGCCCCGCACCCGCACCCGCGGCCCTATAAGGGCCCTACAAGGAAGATGCCAAGGCCAGGCCTGCGGAACTGCCCCGGCCTGCCCGGCAGAGGGCGCCCGCGGCGGCGAGCCTCGGCCCCGCCTCGCCCGCCCAGACCCCGCCCCCGGTCCGCCCCCCGGCTCCGCCCGCAGCCGTCACGTGGTGGGACCCCGGGTACAGCCTGTTGCTGATGCTGCCGCGCGATATTCATCATGGAGCTGGCGCCGCCGAGCCGTCCCGGGCCTCGGTGGCTGCTGCTGTTGCTGCTGCTTCTGCCGCTGCCTCTACTGGGCCAGAGCGCGCTAGGTAGGTTCTGACAGAAGGTGCATCAGCGACACGGGCCTCGTCTCTCCTCTCGCCTCTCTCCAGAGCTGGAAGTTTGCTAGTGGGTTCCTACCTTGCATTTTTATAGTGCTTTTAAACCTTGCTTTTTTTTTTTTTTTTTTCGTATTTTTCATTCCAAGGGCTTTTTCTACCCTTTTCTGCTCTAGGTATTCTAGTGCCTCCTTCTCCCCTGGGCCTCGAAAGCAGCAGTTGTGTGAAAATGTCTGATTTGGGAAAGTGCTGTTAAGTGGCATTTCCACAGCGCTAAGCCCACGTCCCTTTTCTGCCACACTTGGCCATGACTGCTTAGTGAGGCTAGAGCGCCTTTTTATTTATATTCCGAAAGACCTTTAAAAATCCTACCAGGAAGGGCCCATTGTGTTGAGACAAGGCCTTTCTCCCCGTGCTGCTGGCACAGAACTGGGAAGACAAAACAAAAAAACGTTTTTAACAGGATGACTTGCAAATTGACTTTCACTCTTCATCCAGCAAAATGTTTCCCTGGTCTGAAACAAGAACAGAGACTTCCCGAGGGCCTTGTGGTCTTAGGCAAGTCACTCACCAGTTTTGTTTTCCCTCTTGTGCAATGAGGGCCGTCTCAGGGTCTTGTGTTTCAGCGGTAGGCATCCTCAGAGAAACATGCAGACAGAGGGGGTCTTTAAAATCCTGCCAGGAATGGGGCATCGCGTGGAGGTGAGGCCCTTCTCTGGGTGCTCCAGCTGGAATGACAGGGAGCTGCCTCCACCCACTCCACCCCCATCCGGGGTTTAGGTGAACACCTTCTCTGGCTTCCAGGGGCACTTGTGATTTCATGTGCTTAGAGAACTTTGCTGCCACACCTCCGGTTTTCTGGTCTTCTCACGCTTCGTTCTTATTTCCAGGACGGAACTGTCTCCTCGTCCAGTCACATCTCTTTCCTCTTGAGATCAATTTTTTTTTTTTTTTTTTACTTGCCAGAGAGGCTTGAGATTTGAGAAGGGAGGAAGCAGAAGGCAGACAATCCAGATGCTAAAGGACTCTTTCTTCCCCTCATCTTTGAAGGTGCTTAGCCTTTACACTTGTAGCCCCACAGAGTGATTTGTGAGGAAAAGAAAAGACACTGTAACTTGGACTTTGTTACTTGAGCTGATTTACTCTACTCTTTTGCAGTACCTATTTTTTTTTTTTTTTTTTTTTTTGACAGGCAGAGTGGATAGTGAGAGAGAGAGACAGAGAGAAAGGTCTTCCTTTTGCCGTTGGTTCACCCTCCAATGGCCGCCGTGGCTGGCGCGCTGCGGCCAGCGCACCGCGCTGATCTGAAGGCAGGAGCCAGGTGCTTCTCCTGGTCTCCCATGGGGTGCAGGGCCCAAGGACTTGGGCCATCCTCCACTGCCTTCCTGGGCCACAGCAGAGAGCTGGCCTGGAAGAGGGGCAACCGGGACAGAATCCGGCGCCCCGACCGGGACTAGAACCCGGTGTGCCGGCGCCGCAAGGTGGAGGATTAGCCCAGTGAGCCGCGGCACCGGCTGCAGTACCTATTTTTGCAAAGGCTGTAGAAGTTAAGGTAAGGAAAACTGAAGTTGGGAGGTGCAAGGAGTATAGATATATATCTATTTATATATGTATGTGTATACAGACATAGATATCTATCATATACATACGTATATGCAGATAAACATATATACACATTACACGTACACACACACACAAAAAAATCTCCACTGGAAAAAAATTGTTCTGAATGAATAAGGAAAATTACCCTTTTTTAGATTTACTACAGCTCTTTCATTGCTTTTTTCCTTTCAATTTTATGTTTGATGTACAGGAATTCTGCTACATAGAAATTTGACAAGTTTCTGTTCTCACCTCTGTTGATATTTTTCTTTACAATTTCTGAGATTTGCTTAAAACTTTTCCTCACCCAGAAGTCAGAAAAATATTCATCCATGGCTATTCCTCGGTGCCTCTGAGGGGGAGCTTGTTCCAGAACCTTCCTCAGTACCAAAATCCAAAGATACTCATGTCCCTTGCATAAAATGGGGTAATATTTGTACATGACCTACATATATCCTCCTGTGTACTTTTTTTTCCTCCTATATACTTTAAATCATCTCTAGGCAACTTATGATCCCAAACATGTAAATGTGATGTAAATAGTTGCTGTACTATATTTGTATTTTTATTTTATTTTTAGTTCCAAATTTTTTGAAGATTTATGTATTTACTTATTTGAAAGGCAGAGTGTCAAAGTGAGAAACAGAAGATCTTCCATCCACTGGTTCACTTCCCAAATGCTGGCAAAAGCCCGGGCTGGGCCAGGCCAAAGCCAGGAACCAGGAACTCCATCTGGGTCTCCCACATGGGTGGCAGGAACTCAAGTACTTGAGCCATCATCTGCTGCTTCCCAGGTGTACTAACAGGGCACTGGGTTGGAAGCAGAGGAGCCAGGCTTCTAACTGGCACTGCAGTATGGGATGCAGGCACCCCAAGTGGCAGCTTAACCCATGTGCCACACCTACTCCTTCATATATTCTTGATCCAAGGTTAGTTGAATCCACGGGTGTGGACTGTGTGGATTTAAAGAGCTAGCTGTATATTTTTGTATTATTTCTAATATTTAAATTTTAAATAGTCGATCCACTTGGAATTCATTTTAGCTTATAGTGTGATGGAACCAAGGTTGTTGTGCTAGAACCATGTATTGAATAGTCTCAGCTCCACTAATGGGTGATAAGTCTTTAACCACATAGTCAACATAATATTAAACACTAGTATATTACATTTTGAGGTGTTTATTTTTTTCTCAAAATGTCAAGCGCTCTCAGTTTTATAAAATTCTATTAAGTGTTCAGTGATTACAGAAAGATGGAGAGAAAAAAGTGAAAAATCAGCTGTCTTCCATGTGCTACTTTTTGGTTTCTTTTCTTGTAGCTTAGGTTTCTTTATTTCTATATCCCACATAATAGATTTGGGTGGGTAAGTTGTCTGAAATATAAAACCAGTCACATCCAACCTGGCATGGCCAGGTCTACCAGGCTTGGACTTGCCCTTGAACCTTTCTTCGGGAAAGTGAAACTGAGTTTCCGTTGCAGGAGCTGTCACTGATGAGCCCACGGAGGAGGGCAAGGAAGTGTGGGGCTATGTGACTGTCCGCCAGGATGCCCACATGTTCTGGTGGCTCTATTATGCCACCCACCCCTGCAAGAACTTCTCAGAACTGCCCCTGGTCATGTGGCTTCAGGTAATGTGGCTTCCCTGTGCAGCCTCGGGTTGAGGCCAGGTCTCCCCCTATTTATTCTTCAGAGCTGACAGCTCAGCAGGGAAGGGCTGATCTGGTCCAGCAGCCAGGCCCAGAGGGTGGCGGTGGGGGTCAGCATCTCGTTGACGCAGTGGAGATAGCCTAGGAGGCCAACCCAGAGGGTGAGGGGCTCTAGCCTTTTGCCACAGTCTTTTTTCTGTGAAGTGCAGATGGTTGCAGGAACCCTTATGGAATGATCCCACTGCTGTATTGGTGTATCCTTACTGATAAAGCTGTTCTGAAAGGTTCTGAAGCCAAGGTTGATGCACAGTAACCCTCCCTTCCTCTCTCATTGCCTATAATCCTTTGCTGGGCCCTCGACTTTTTTATTTTATTTTTATAAATGTTTATTTTTTCATCTACTTGAAAAGCAGATAGGGAGAGAGAGAGATCTTCTATCTGCTGTTTCATTCCCCAAATGCCTGCAACAGCCAGAGCTGGGCCAGGTAGAAGAAGTCAGAAGCCCAGAACTCCATCTAGATCACCCACGGAGATGGCTGGGACCCAGATGGCCATCATCTGCCATCTAAGACACACTAACAGGAAGCTGGATCGGAAACAGAGCAACCAGGACTCGAACTGCCACTCTGATATTGGATGTGGGCATCCCACGCAGCAGCTTAACCCACTGCACCACAGCACCTGCCCTGCACCTCGCTTCTTGACCCCAGAAAGCTCATCTTGTGAAAGGACCGCCAGCTCCCAGCCTTGTTATCTTAGTGTACATGTGAAGCTCTACCCTTCTCCCTATATGTGTTTGCATTTTAGCCTTGCATTCTGATTGTGGGACTGCAGGCAGGGTGCTGGTTGAAGGGCACTTAGAGATGGGCATAGGCCCCTTCCTGGCATTACTGCAGTGTGTGTCCGAAGGTGGCTCACATCTGCTGGAAGACCCGTCTCCAGGGAGGGGTTGCTTCAGCCTCGGGCCCAGCCTGGCTTCCAGGTCACTCACCAGTAAATAGGGCAGCCCTGCTCCTCACCTGCCTGGGGTGGGAATGAGACTTCCCGCCCGAATGCCAGTGTCCACAGGCAGCCTCCCAGGCCTAGGCTTCCGGGTGAGACAGAGTGAAGATGAGCATTCTCAGGCAGGGCCTTTCTCTCCTCCGCTTATCGTAGGTGACTTACTGAGGGCTAGAGGGGAGGCTTAGCCCAGGAACAAAGGTAAGAAAAGGACTCAGGGAGCCCTGTCCACCCCAGGCAGCTGGAGGGGGAGGTGCTGCTTGCCAGGGCCACGCTTCCTTCTCTGGGCCTTGGGTTTCAACCTCGTTATTTATTAATCAGAACAACTGTCTTCACACTCAGACTAAAGTCCACATCGGGAGCCAAAGCAGAGAAAAGCAGAAGTGCCCCAGCTGAGGTGGCGGCAGGATGCCCAGTCCCTCCCACTGGGCCTCCCCCTTGGTCCCTGGCTGCCCTGGGGACGCTTTCGGAGCACTCTGGGAAATAGTTTGAAGAACCTGAATTTTGGAAGTTGTAACTGTACTTTGGATTGACGTGGAGTGAGATGGTGGTTTTCATGGAATTGGTTGTCAGCATTTTCAAGGCAGGCCATTTCCTGACTCTTTCCAAATATCAAGATATCCGGCAACTCTGCCTTGAATTCACTGTCCCCAAATCTGACCAGTGATGGCCCCTTCCCAGAGAGAGCGGGAGAGCCTGGAGGTGGGGGAGGCGAGCCCTACCCATTCCCACTTGCTCTGCAGCCTCTACCCAGTGCCCCCGCCCCCACCCCCCAGCCACGTGCAGTTAACATGACCTTCTGCGTCTGAGGTTCTTTGAAGGTTATCAGCAGACACTCGGTCGCTCTCCTCCGGTTCCCTAGAGCCACAAGGAAAAAGGAGGAAAGAATGTTATGATTGAGATAGGAACAATTAATTTAGATGAAAAGGAGGTCTGTCTTCACAGCCTACTGAGGACTCAAGCACTGACTTCTTTGGGGGGAATCTGAGAATCTAGGTCGCATCATCTGAGTGGAGTAGAAGGCTATTTTAAGGACACTTCAAGTCACGTAAGCATTTTTGTAGTTCACTGCTACATTTACTGTATTTCAGAGTCACAGGATAGCCCCAGCTTAGGGTACCACCCCCTCCCAAAGTTTGAGTCAGAAACCGTTTGTAATGGGATCTGTTCATCAAGAACAACCACACATCTTTCAGCCAGCTTCCTCTTGCCATGGTGGTGGTAGTGGGGAGCCTGGGTCGGGGGAGTAGGGGGAGGGGTCATCTGCTGCCACTGTGGTCTCAAAAGCAGAACAGGAAGTGGGATTTCTCCACCAACACCAAGCCTCCCAGGATTCCCAGCTCCTCTAGCCCTGACACTTTGCTCCGGCCCCATCCTGTAAGTCTGCTAGGGAAAAAGTGACCCAGCTGCCATTCAAGGATACATCTGAGTACTCGGTTTTAATTGATTGCTTATCACAGTAGAAGCATTTTGCAACATTGTCTCATAGCTTTTGAGTCTGTGAGTCTACATGGCAGCATTATGTTCCATCCTGTAGGCATAGTTCACTGACATTCCAGCTACCTGTTACTGTTGCCGTTGATCTAAGTTGCTGTACCATGCGTAGCTCCATCTGGTGTTGCCCCGTGTTAGGAAATCTTGAGTTGGAAGCACACACAGTAGTGGGCTATACAGCCGTCCAGTTTTGATCTGAGGCTGCTGCAGGTTCTCCGAGTCAGGGCCTCTTGCAGTTGTCTCATCCCCCCTTAGCCCTGACTCCACCTTGTCTTTCTCTTTAGATTTCCTTCCACTATTGCCCTGGCTTCTGCTTTGCCTGAGCTGTTGCCTTTCTTCTTTCCTATCGCCCTTTGCTACCCATGCTGCTGTGCACTGAGGTGCTGTGTCCTTTTGTTCTAGGCTCCCTGCAGCTGATCCTGCTCTCCTCATAGCCTCCTAGATTTGTCCAGGAAAGCAGTCTCCTTTCCCCTGCCCAGCTACCAAGAGGCCCCCTCCTGTCTCCGTCAGGAAGTCCATCTGGGCTGCCCCACTGTGTCTCTTGTCTGTCCTGCCCTCTACTCTGGGCCTCTCACAGTGTAGGGCCCCCCGGCACTTCTATGTTGGGTATGTTGTATCCAGAGAATCAGCTTGACCAAATTGCCCCTTAGTCCGGGCACCCTAACAATCTGAGGTGACAGTCCCCCACCCTCAGAGGAGTGGGTGGAGGTGGAGTCAGGAGATTCAGGCCCAGTCCTGTGAGAGCTGCTAATTGCCCAGTAGCCCAGGGCCAAGCCACATCCCTTCTCGGGCCTCACCACACTGTGTGAAGTGAGAGGGGTTGGGTGAGACGTTTGTGAAGGTTGCTCCAGTGCTGAAGGTCAGGGGTCCCCCAGACAGGTCATGGCTCCCACTCCCCAAACCAGAAGGCAGCAAGTTTTCCCCAGGGCCCTTAGCTCAGCCCTGTTCCTTTCTTTCTCTCCCTTTCTTTCTTTTCTTCCTCTCTCCCTCCCTCCCTCCCTCTTTCAAGATTCATTTATTTGTTTGAAAGGCAGAGCATCAGCGAGAGAAACGGAGCTTGGGATCTCCATGTGCTGGTTTACTCCTCAAATGGCTGCAACAGCCAGGGCTGGGCCAGGTCAAAGCCAGGAGCCAGGAACTCCTTCTGGGTTCCCCACCTAGGTGGCAGGGGCCCAAACACTTGGACCATCATCGGGTGCCTTCCCAGCTACATTAGCAGAGAGCTAGATCAGAAGCAGAGCAGCTAGGACTCAGACTGCCACTGATACGGGGCTTGGTCTGTGCAGAAGCCCGAGGTTCACTGAGCAATTGCCTCTTCTGTGCAGGTTCACCCAGCCGTCACTAAATCCCACCCCGTTTATAGTGAATGCCGGCATCAGCGTAATGACTAAGGTTTGGCTAACGTGGTCTCTGTGCTTGTATTTTTCCACAGGGCGGTCCGGGTGGTTCCAGCACTGGATTTGGAAACTTTCAGGAGATCGGGCCTCTTGACACCGACCTCAAACCTCGGAAAACCACCTGGGTACTGTGAGGACAGCCCTTACCTGCAGTGCATGTGGCCTCTCTGGGGCTGGGCCCCACCTGCCTTCCCCACCTCTGGGTGGGGTGATGTGTTTAGCAGTTCACCCTGCCACACCTTTTCCGGGTCCTGGAGCTCCTGTCCGTAGGTCTTCCCATTTCTCAGGACAGCCTGTCTCACTCCAGTCTCTCTGGCCTCCGCACTGGGGACTCTCTCTTCACCTGCCTTTAGAAATGTGTCCCTGTAGACACCCAGGACCCTCCCACTACGCACCCTCATGTTGGCCCTCTGCAGAGCCACAGCCAGAGTCCCGCCTTGTGGTCACAACTTCTGACCCCTAGACCTCATGTCCCTGGGCCCCACCCTTTCTGTGATGCCTCTAGTTCTCTGTCTCTCCCCCTCCCCCTCACTCTTTGCATCACTTCCTCCCCTAAGCCCTCTGCCAAGTGCTCTGACTGCTCCCCCAACCTTCTCCCTTTACAGCCTTGACAGCCCCACCCTTGGGCGACTCCCACCATTGTCCACTGGCTCAGCCCCTGCTCCCAGGCTGCCAGATGCCACAGGCGTATCCATAGCCAGCAGGTGGGGGCTTGGGTCAGCGGTGGGCCTCCCCAACACCGTGGCCCTCCTTTGCCCTGTGCTGCTTGGCTCCTCTCCCAGCTGCACCTGCAGCTGCTGCTCCCCACCATCCTCAGGGCCCCTCCTGCAGCCTCCCTCTCTCGTCACCTGCTAACCCACCTGGTCTTTGCTAAGTGCATCTCACCATTCTCTTGGCCTGGAATGTTTGTGTCCATGCCACTTCCGAGAGCAGTAGCATGGCGCCCTGCTGGCTCGTCTCCAGGCCTCCCCAGGCTAAGGCAGTAGTAAGGCTGGGGCAGAGGGCCTGAGTGAGGAGACCTGGGTGCTGGTCCTGGTACTGCCATTACCAAGCCACAAGTTTGTGATCCTGGACCCGTCTGTGCCCCTCCTGGGATTTCATAGTTCGTGATCAGTAGAGGGTGTGGCTGGACTCTGTCATCACGAAGGATCCTTCCAGCCATGAAATTGTACAAATCTCAGCCTGTTCTGAAAAGGTAGTGGAATAAAGTCTGTTCTTGCTGTGCACAGGGAGCCCAGGGCAGTGTGGAAGCCAGATTCACCAGGAAGAAAAGTGCTGCTTGGTATTCAGACCTTGAGCTTGCTGTCAGGGCTTGGTGTTACTGCTGGCTGACACTGCGGGGTTCTGCCTCCTCTCGTGTGTTGTGTCTCCCTGGGATGTGCGTGTAGTGTGAAAAGCCACAGCCCAGAGTCCTTGATCACCGTGTGTGTCTTCATCTTTCCCTCTTGTCTCTCCTTCTCAGGCTGCAGTCTCTGTTTCTGTCCTGTAGCTTTTCACAACCCCCTTGAGCAGCGGGGTATCATCAGCTCGCTGGTCTCATCTCCCCGGAGGGCTTTGCTGTACTTGTAGGAGTTGTCAGCGCTCACTGCAGCATCTGCTTTTCCTCTGTGCCTCCTAGCTCCAGGCTGCCAGTCTCCTCTTCGTGGATAATCCTGTGGGCACAGGGTTCAGTTACGTGAACAAGAGTGCCTCCTATGCCAAAGACCTCGCCATGGTGGCTGCAGACATGATGGTCCTGCTGAAGACCTTCTTCGATTGCCACAAAGAATTCCAGGTACGCCAAGACTCACACAAGTAAGAAAAGGCCTGGCAGTAGCAGCATTGCAGCTCTCAGAGTAACCGTGAATTTTTCCAAGAGTTTGGTGCCCAGTTGTTTTTTTTTTTTTTTTAAGGTTTATTTTATTTATCTGAAGGTTTATTTTATTTATCTGAAAGGCAGAGTTACAGAGAGAGAGAGAGGGAGATACAGAGAGAAAGAGAGAGAGAGAGAAATCTTCCATCCACTGCTTTACTCTCCAAATGGCCACAAAAGCCAAGGCTGGGCCAGGTTGATGCCAGCAGCCAGGAGCTTCTTCTGGGTTTCCCACGTGGGTACAGGGACCAAACCACTTGAGCCATCCTCTCCTGCTTTCCTAGGCCATTAGCAGGGAGCTGGATTGGAAGTGGAGCAGCTGGGACTTGAACTGGTGCCCATGTGGGATGCTGTTATTGCAGGTGGTAGGTGGCCTTACTCACCATGCCACAGCACCAGCCCCCAGCTGTTGTTTTTTTTGTTTTGTTTTGTTTTGTTTTGTTTTAATGCTTATTTATTTATTTGACAGACAGAGACACAGAGAGATTGTCTATCCACTATTCACTCACCAGATGCCCTCCATGGCCCGTGCTGGGCCACGCCAAAGCCAGGAACCAGGAGCTCCATCCAGGTCTCTCATACGAGTGCAGGGGCCTAAGTCTACTTGTGCCATCTTCTGCTGCCTTTCTAGCCTCACTAGCAGGGATCTGGATCAGAAATGGAATAGCCAGGACTCATATCAGCTCTGGAAAAGGGATGTGGGCATCCCAAGTAGTGGCTTAACCCACTGTGCCATGACACCAGCCACTGCACAGCTGATTTTAAAGAAAACTGTTTTACTTCCAAGATTGGGTCATGACTTGTTTCTATCATTTCTAAAGATGGCTTTTGGCTTGAAAAAATGACCCTAGAGCCTGTATTATAAACATACATAATAATCACCTATCGAGTCAAAAGACAAAGCAGATTTCTTTAGTCTGGCCATTACAACAGAAATTTGAAATCAAGTTGTGCAAATCAAGAGGTAATCAGAATATTTAATTCTTTGTAAATTCCTTTTCTTGCTAGACAATTCCATTCTACATTTTCTCAGAATCCTATGGAGGAAAAATGGCTGCTGGTATTGGTCTAGAACTTTATAAGGTAAGAAAGAATATGACTTTTTATGATGTTGGACAGAAAACTAATTTTTAAAAAGATTTATTTATTTATTTGAAAGGCAGAGTTACAGTGACAGAGGGAGAGACAGAATGAGAGATTTTCCATCCATGAGTTCACTCCCTAGAGGGCCACAACAGCCAGGGCCAGGAGTGTCTACCTGGTCTCTCACGTGGGTATAGAGGCCCAAGCATCTTCCACTGTTTTCCCAGGCCATGAGCAGGGAGCAGCCAGGACTCGAACCAGCACCCACATGGGATGCTGGCATTGCAGGCAGGAGTGTAACCCACCATGCCACAACGGCAGCCCCTAATTTTTTTTTATGTTCACTTGCTAATGAATAAGGCCTTATACATGCACATGAAAATTAAGTCTGTAATAATCTTGAAAAGTTTTAAAAAGAAAGTGGACGTTACCCTATTGAACAAGCTATAAAGCTGCAGTGAGTAAAACAATGTGGTACTAACACGGCAACAGACAAATGGATGAAATGCAACAGGGTAAAGAATCCAGAAGCAGATTTTACATATATGGTTGTGTATGGGTCATACATATATATATATATAAAGAGAGAGAGAGAGAGATTGATCCTATATAAATTATAAGATGGCATTTCCAATCATTGGGGCATGGAAGGAATGCTCAAGAAATGGTTTGCAGACTTCTGCTCACTTTGCAGATGGCACCAATGAGAGGCAGCCTTGTTCTCTGGGGTCTTCTGGTGCCCGGGGAACCTGGGAGAGGGCAGTCGGCAGTGTTCTGTGCCCCGGAAGGGCACTGTAGCAGGCTTGTCTCTCGCTGTGGAGGAAGAGATGGAGGCCCTGGGGTTTCCTTGCTGAAGATATATTCTTTTTGTCTTCTCTTCAGGCTGTGCAGCAAGGGACCATCAAGTGCAATTTCTCTGGGGTTGCCTTGGGTGACTCCTGGATCTCCCCTGTTGGTAAGTACAGAATTTGGGGGCATCTCTTTACACCCTCTCTCAACCATCCTTTCCTAGGACTTTGGGCTGAGTGTTCCAGATCAACCAACAGGCAACAGAATTTTCTGGATCCTTGGAGAGGTCAACACAGAAAGTGTTGGCTCCCGAAGCAGTGAGAACTCATTCCCAGAGCATGTACCATGGGCTGCTCAGGACTGAACTGAGTTCTCTGACTTGATTCTTATCAAAGAGTCACCATTTAGAGTTGGAGACATTCTAAAGACCGATGATAGTGATGACATGTTTGCCTTCCGACATACAGCATGAGTGGCCCACAAGGAATCAAACCCAGGTCTGTGTGACTCAGCATGAGGGCCAGCCTGTCTTCTCAGCTTGTCCCCTCCACCACCCTCTGCCGGCGTGAGCATCTGGGGTGAAATTTCCTGCACGTTGATGGTTGCTGACACAAGGTTGTCATAAGGTCTTGCAAGCTCATTGAGTTTGCAGTTTCGTAATTGAGCATCCTTGCTGGCAGCACAGGCTGCAGTGTTTCTATTGCAAGCCAGGGTGTGTCCTTGCGTGGCTGAAGTAATCATCTTGGGGTTAACTCTAACACAGGGTTTCTCAACCTCGGCACTGCTGACGTTGTGGGTTGTCTAATTCTTTGTGCCTCATAGGATATTTATCAGCAGCATTCCTGGCCTCTACTTATGAGCTGCCATTAGTGCCAGCCTGGTGTGACACTGAAAATGTCTCCAGATTTGGCCAGCTGTCTGGTCAAGAACTACTAATTTTTTTTTCTTTGAAAAGCAGAGTTACAGGGTGGGTGGGGAGAGACAGAGAGAGAGGTCTTCCATCTGCTGGTTCACTCCCTAAATGGCTACAACAGTCAGGGCTGGGCCAGGCCAAAACCAGGAACCAGGAGCTTCATCCAGGTATTCCATGTGGGTGCAGGGGCCACGTGCTTGGGCCATCCCCTTCTGCTTTCCAAGGCACGTTAGCAGAGAGCTGAATTGGAAGTGGAGCAGCTGGGACTCGAAGGTGGTGGCTTTACCTACTATGCCACAATGCTGGCCCCAAGAACTGCTATTCTAATCCAACAAAAGCTGACTTTTCACAGACAAAACCCAATGACAGATTTAGAAAGCAGAAGAGAGACTGCCTGTGGAGGGAGGGGAATAAGCCGAAAAGGGAACTTCTCCAGGCTAGCAGGGCCACATGGCTCACTTTATTGGGGTGGTGGTACATGAGTTTATGCATGCATCAAATCTTACAAAGATACACTATGATTTGTGATCTGCGATGATAACTCACTTTTTAGAAATATATATTTATTTTCATCTACTTAAAAGCAGAGGGGGTGCGGGGAGATAGAGAAATATCTTTCATCCATTGGTTTACTCTAAATGCTCACAACAGCCAGGGCTAGGTCAGACTGAAGCCAGGAACCCAGAATTTCATCCATGTCTCCCACATGGATGGCAGAGACTCAAACACTTGAGCTACCTTCTGTTACCTCCCAGGAAACAATAGCAGGAAGCTGGATTGGAAGCAGAGTAGCTGGTGCTTGAACCAGCACTCCAGTATGGGAAGCAGGCATCCCAAGTGGCAGTCTAAACTGCCATACCACGATGCCTACCCATCTGTGTCTTTTTTTTTTTTTTTTAAGATTTATTTACTTACTTGAAAGAGTTAGATAGAGAAGAAGACAGAGAGAGAGCGCGCGCTTCCATCCGCTGGTTCACTCCTCAAATGGCTGCAGTGAACAAGGCTGGACCAAGTTGAAGCTAGGAGTGAGGAGCTTCTTCCAGGTCTCTCATTGGGTGGAAGGGCCCAGGGACTCAGGCCATCTTCTGCTTTCCCAGGCGTATTAGCAGGGAACTAGAGCTGAAGTAGAGCAGCTGGGACTCTAACCAATGCCCTTATCAGCTGTGGCATTGCAGGTGGCAGCTTAACCCACTGTACCACAGCGTCAGTACTGCATCAGTTTTTGCTTTTTTAAAATATTTATTTATTTATTTGAAAGTCAGAGTTATACAGAGAGAGAGAAGGAGGAGCAGAGAGAAAGAGAGGTCTTCCATCCACTGGTTCACTCCCCAATTGGCTGCAATGGCGGGAGCTGTGCCGATCTGAAGCCAGGAGGCAGGAGCTTCTTCCGGGTCTCCCACATGGGTGCAAGGGCCCAAGGACTTGGGCCATCTTCTACTGCCTTCCCAGGTCTTGGTAGAGAGCTGGATCAGAAGTGGAGCAGCTGGGACTTGAACTGGCATCCATATGGGATGCCAGCACTGCAGGCAGTGGCTTTACCCGCTATGCCACAGTGCTGGCACCTAAATTTACTTTTTAAAAAGATTTATTTTATTTATTTGAAAGGCGGAGTTACAGAGAGAGAGGGAGAGATAGAGAGATTTTCCATCTGCTGGTTCACTCTCCAAATGGCTGCAACAGCCTGGGCTGGGCCAGACAAAAGCTAGGAACCAGGAAATCTGTCTGGGCCTGCAACATGAGTGCAGGGGTCCAAGCACTTGAGCCTTCTTCCTACTGCTTTTCCAGGCAGATTAGCAGGGAGCTGGATTGGAAGTGGAGCAGCCAAGACTCAAACCTGTGTCCATATGGGATACCAGCATTGCAGGTGGCAGCTTTACCTGCTGCCTACAATGTTGACTCCCTTCCTCCCCACCCCACCATCAGTGTTTTTAAATGACAGTTTATAATATGTAATATTTTCCTCCCGAAAGATGGGAATTTGGTTTGTTACAGAGCTGTGTCCTTACCGGTTCATCATATTCTCTCTCTCTCTTTTTAAGATTTTACAAAACATATTTGGAAGAGAGAGAAAGAGAGCACTCACTTCTGTCCTCTGGTTCACTCTGCAAATGCCTGCAACAGTTGGGGCTGTGCCAGGCCAAAGCCAGGAGCCAGGAACTCTGTCCTGGTCTCCCACATGAGTGGCAGGGATTCAACTGCTTAAGCCATCATTTGCCTTCTGGCACATTAGCAGGAAACCGGATCAGAAGCAGGGTAGCTGGGAGTTAGAACCAAGTATTTCAGTTTGGTATGTGGGCATCCCAACAGCAGCTGAACCTGCTGTACCAGGGTGCTTGCCCCTGGATGAGGATGTTCTGTTGCTACTTGGGGTGTTTATTTCTTGCCTTGGATGTGGCAGCCCCAGGGTAGGGCTGACACAGCATAAAGCTGAGTCAGCACAGAGAGGAGGGCCGCTGTGTGTTTCTCCTTCCTGGGTGGGCCTTATAGGACGTCACGAAGCTGCAGAAGCCTTGACCAGGGGCTGGAAGTCCTGCAGGATTCTTGTCCGATGTTACTCTGTTGCCGCTGTTAATGGTAAGACAGGGTTATCATCAGGTCTTGTAACACAGAAGTTTGTCATTTCACAACCGAGCATCCTTGTTAAGGCACAGATAAGAGCTGTTTATGATCCAGAATTACAACGTCAGCACCTAACAGTTGCACTCAGGGTCTCGCCATCATTTCATAATAGCGCTGAGCACTTTGCATGTGCTAATTTCATTTACTCCTTACAATAATTATGGGATGGATGCTGCTATTACTCTGATTCTGTAGATGATGAACCTGAGACTCAGAGAGGTTCAGTAACTTTCCTAGAGTCACACAGCTGAAGTTGTAGAGCTGGGATTCAAACTGAAGCAGCAGGTGCTTGAATCCATGTACTTAACTACTATCAAATCAAGGAGTGTATCCCTATGGCTTTGCAAGTGCTGTCACCCAGGCCGGAACCTATGCTTTTTTCCTTGTCATAGCCCATTTCCTTTTGTGCATCTGCCTGTCCAGATCTCAACCCAGCCTTCCAGATCCAGTGGAAGCATCATGCCTCGTCCCAGAGGTGTTCCCTTATGAGTGCGTAGAACTGTTGATGTCCATGAGCAGCTGTTCACTGCTTGCTAAATGATAAGCACTGTGCTAGATTTTAGGCGTAGGTACAGATACACTCCTTATCTTCAAGAAGGTTGTGACCTGCACTGTCACCAGCCACATGTGACTATTTTAATATGGTAGCCCCGAGCCACATGTGTCTAGGTAAATTTATAGTAATTAAAATTTTAAAACGGTAGAATTTCAGTTTCTCAAGGGTGCCATCCATGCTTCATGTGCTGAGTAGAGACTTCAAGAGACTCAGTAGTGGCTGCTAGCTGCTTGGGCCATACCAACTGGAGCATTTCCACTGTTCCAGAAAGGTCTGTTGGACAGTGCTGGTCTACATCAGAGGCTGGCACGTTGCCACCCACAGGTCAAGAATGTCCTGCCACCTGCTTTGGTAATTAAAGTTCTTTATTGAAACCTAGCCACACCCATCATTTACATATTATCTGTGGCTGTTTGGAGGTGGCAAGCTAAGAGCTGAATAGTTGTAACAGACTGGCAGGCCCACAAAGCCAAAGTTACTTACTGTATAGAAAATGATGGCCAATCCCTGGTGTAGAGCAAGCAGAGCATGGGAAGCACTGACAAACTATGAACAGTTCAGTAGTTCAAGAAACTAAGGCCCAGGCATGAGGGTAAGCTGGAGAGCTGACCAGGAGGTAGGTCACGAAGGCTGGCGTGCCTGCACACCTCAGGAACACCAATCCAGTGAGGTGCTGTGCATAGGGCTCCCTGGTCTCCCAAGTTCTGGAAGTGCTCAACACTGGCTCCACCTCTTCCAGATTCCCAGGCACAGTAAAGGCTCCGGGAAGCCCCATAGTAAAGGAATGTGCTGCGTTTTGTGTAACTCCAAAGCTGTTTTCTCAGGGAATCATTTCTGTTGTCTGAGAACCTCAGTTAAAATGCTGCAGAACTGTGGTTACTGGAAGCCTACTTTGAGATACTAGGTCTCGGGAAGCCATTGAGGCCTTTCACACAGAGGCATGACAGTGCAACGTGCTCTAGAAAGTGAGCCCCTGATGCTTTCTATCGGCCGTCTCTCACTGGTGCCTCTCTTCTCGTGATGCAGTAGTTGTGAACATGTCCACACCAGTCCCACTGTCCTCTTTGACAGTAGGCATTATCCTACTCTATCTCATCTTCTCAAGCTTTTGTTTTATGTGTTATTTTCACTTTTTTATTTGAAAGACACAGAAAAGGAGATCTTTCTTTGGCTAGTAAACTTCCCAAACACCTGCAGTATCCAGAGCTGGGCCAGGCCAAAGCCAGGAGCTGGGAACTCCGTGCTGGTCTTCCAGATAGGTGCCAGAGATCCAAGTTCTTGAGCCATCACGTGCTGCCTCTTAGGGTGCACGTTAGCAAGAAGTTGGAAGCGGAGCTAGGACTTGAACTAGGCATTTCTGCGTGGCATGTAGGCATCCCAACAGCATCTTAACTGGCTATGCCAAACGTCTACCTCTTCTCAAACCCTTAATAAATTCTCAATGTTTGTGGAACAGAACTGAATCAATTGGCAGTACAGCCACCAACACTTGGCTCACAAACTCATTGGTCTCCTGGCAGAAGCTGATGTCGCCAAGTTGGAGGTGCAAACAGGATGCAGAGTGGAAACATGAGGGTGGGGACATACCTAAAGCTTTCAAAAAGCCTAGAAGTCTGAAGATCAGGGCCTCCCCAGACACACCCAGCCCCTGCCTGGCGGATACCATTGCATCACTTGCTGGGCCAGAATCAGGCCAGGTTGATGTTTCATTAGTCCTCCTGTGTGGGCAGTGGTGAGTTATGGAGGCTCAAACCTACGGCCACATAGTTTCTGGCTTGGGTCTCTTTCTGCTTTGGAGGGAAGCCGGTTGGGTTTTTCTTTGGAAAGTTAAAGCCATGACACATAATTGGTACACATGTGGTTTTTTCAGATTCAGTGCTCTCCTGGGGACCTTACCTGTACAGCATGGTAAGTAGATGGGTCCTCTCCTCTGCACTGTCCATCACAAATGACCCAGCCCGCCTCCTCTGGCTCTGTCCCCAGCAAGAAGGAAATTCAGTGAGTTTGCAGAGGCTCTAGTCCACGTCACGTTGGAGACCCTAAGAAACAGCTGGCTTTGGGGACAAATTTTAAGCAAATCAATGTGCTTACTCCATTTTTCATTTTTCCCTTATTATTATATTTTCAAATATACAGTAAAGTTGAAAGGTGGCTGTGAGCACCCACATACCCACCATCTTGACCCAGTTAACATTTCACTGTCTTTCTTTTATCAATACATACAAAGAATCTTCAAAGAGGTCATAAAATGCATGTTATGAAATCCATGCATGGATTTAAAAAAATTTTTGCACCAAAATAAACATTTTTTAATCTCATTTTTTTCCCATAAACTCTATGAAGTACCCTCATGTGAGACTTATAATGATGCATTTTGTGTGTCCATGTGAGACAAACAGAGAGACAGAAACTCAGAGAGAGAACTCTCACCCACGATTTTACTCCCCAAATGCCCACAGCAGCTGGGGCTGGGCCAGGACAGAAGTCAGCTATGCAGTTCCAGTCTCCCACATGGGTGGCAGGAACTCAACCACCTGATCCTTCATTGCTGCCTCCCAGGGGCTGCATTCATGTGAATTTATTCACAAAGCTGGAGTCAGGAGCCAGCCAGGTATTGAACCCAAGCACTCTGACGTGGGACAAGGCAGTCTTAATCACAAAGCTAAATCCCTGCTCCTGGGTGAGTTCCTCTTTCTCCTTCCTCCTGCTCTTTCTCCTACCAGTCTTACCTTCCCAAGTCAAGTGGGCCTTTCTGTGTTGGTTTGCATCTAGTCTCTCCTGGACGACCAAGGTCTGGCGGAGGTATCTCATGTTGCTGAGCAAGTCCTGGATGCCGTCAACAAGGGGCTCTACAAGGAAGCCACTCAGCTGTGGGAGAAAGCAGAAATGGTCATTGAGAAGGTAAACAGGGACACACCGGGTCCTTTTCCGTGGGTTCAGGGCCAGTGGCTGGTGTAGTCAGAATTGGGGTCTATCCTGAGTCTTCCCATGAGTCTGGAAATGACTGCATCTTGCAGGATGAATCTCGTGGGTGAGAGCAGTAATGTCGTGGCCCTTTACAGGGTCAGAATGGCGCCCAGGCCCGTAAGACTAGCTTGTTCTTGACTGAATGTCTGGATTCCATAAGAAAGGCTGTGTCTAGCAGAGGCGAGTGTCAAATTTGGAGACATCAGTTGCCTTCTTAAGATCCTTTCCATACAACATTCTTATTTCAGTGATCCAGAAGGGAAGGGTGCACTGGCCATGGACTTGGGTGTGTGGGATCGTCCTCAGCTCTGTGCCCCATGATAGTTAGCACCTGGCCCTTGGTGAGCTCTGCTCCCATGGGCGTGCACCACTTAGAGTAGAAGGGACTGATGCAGATGGCTCTTGGGCTTTCAGAGCTGCATTTCCTTGTGGTCCAAGCAAATTTACAAAGTGGAACCTGTCCTTGGATAAGACAGCCAGGTGCTTGCCAGTATCACAGCACTGGTGATGGAATGATAAAGCAACAGGAACGTGCACTCCTGTATTTCAGAACACGGACGGGGTGAACTTCTACAACATCTTAACCAAAGACACTCCCATGTCTTCCATGGAATCCAGCCTGGAATTCATGCGGAGCCACTTGGGTGAGTGAGCCTCGTCGTCGTTATCCTGTACCTGCCTCTATGTGAGAAGAAACCCACTGTTCAAAGCTTCATTGGGATCTAATTAATAAGTCACAAAATGCAGCCATTTTCATTGCGTTGATTCAGCGGTTTTGAGTGTATCCACAGAGTCGTGTAATCATCACCACAATCAACTTTTAGGACTTTCCATCACTCCAAAAAAGACCCCACGTTTGCTGTCAGCTCTCCCCCTGGCAAACCCGAACTGCTTTCTCTGTCACTAGGTTTGCCCTTTCTGCACATTTTATGTAAATGAAGCTATTACAGTAGTCTTCTGTACTTGGTTCCTGTCGGCATGATGATTTTGAAGTTCAGAAACCAACACTTGCGCACTGAATTGCAGAGTCTTTGTCATCAAAGCTGACTGTAGTGGTGTTGCGGCTTTACTCGGAATGCACGGTGCCTGGCTCCTCCCTCCGGGAAAGGCGTGTGATGGTTGCCCCACATTCCACTTTCCAGCTGATTTTCTTTTTCTTTTTAAAGCTGATTGATTGATTGATTGATTTTTATTTGAAAGGGAGACACAGAGATCTTCCATCCATGGTTCACTCCTCAAATGCCCACAGTAGCCGGGTCTGAGCCTGGAACTCCACCCAGGTCTCCCCTCTGGGTGGCAGGAACCTAACTACTTAGGCCATCACCTGCTGCTTCCTGGAGGAGGAGTGGAGCCAGGACTTGAACCCAGGCACTCGAGTGTGGGATGCAGGTGTCCCATGGCTTCTTAACAGCTGTGCCCCTTGCCCACCCCACAGCTGATTTTCTTTGGACATTCTAGATCATCTAGTGGCCCCCAAGTACATAGAATGCAGCCATCCACTAACCAGCCTCTCCATTTCCAACACAGGCCTGACTTTCTTCTTCCACCTGGGGTGAATCAAGGTGATGCTTTCGCTTTTTCAACCAGAATCCTCTGTTTACTCCATAGCACCCCCAGCTGCGTGGAAAAGATGCTCCGCTGGGGCTGGTGTTGTGGCACAGTAGATTAAGCCACTGCTGTGACACTGGCATACCATATTCTAGTGCTAGATGGAGTCCCGGATGTTCTGTTTCCAGTCCAGCTCCCTGCTAACACTCCTGGGAAAGCAGCAGAAGATAGCCCAAGTACTTGGGCCCCTGCCACCTAGCTCTAGTCCTAGTAGCCATTTGGGGAGTGAGCCAGCAAATGGAAGATTCTCTCTCTCTTTCTGTCTTTCAAATAAATGAAAAAATAAATCTTTTTAAGATGCCTCATTAGTCCCACTTTCAGTCCTTCAGCTCACCACGTCCAGTTTTTCTTTTGTTTTCTTTCCAGTTCGTCTGTGTCAGCGTCACGTGAGACACCTACATGGAGATTCCTTGAGTCAGCTCATGAATGGTCCCATCAGAAAGAAACTCAAAATTATTCCTGAGGATTTCTCCTGGGGAGGTATTTGTGTGACCCAAATAAGTTCCTCTTGCAGAGTTGGAGGGAGAAGAGAGATGCAAATTCAGAGGCCTGAATTTGTAGGATGGGTTTTCATGGTGGGGATGGTATGTGGGTAAAATAGTATCCCTAGCCACATTGCAAGGATGAGTAAGCAGATACCGAGACAGCAATGGGCCCAAATTGGTTCAAGGTTGCTAGGGTAGTGAGTGGGGAAAGAAATGACACACGACTGGTTATGAGTCAGTAATTGTTGGAGCCCGCTTTGGCACATAGGGATTCCCATAGTCTTCTCATTACCTTTCTATCAGTTTGACATTTTCCATAATAAAAGTTACATTACGAAAGCCATGCCCAAGGCCACAGCTAGCTGCAGGTGAGATTTCCAGCCAACTCCCTTGCAGGATACCAGACTGGCCTGTGTACCCGGACAGGTTTTGAGCAGTTCTCTCGTGCTGGCCTCTCCAGAAACCCTGAGGCTGGGTGTGGTGGGGCATCTGCCACATTGTGCTCTGAGGGCCAAGGTGAGGAAATACTGGAGTTACTAGAGGCCAAGGCCAGGTGGAAACGCTGGATAAGTTCCTAATTCATCCTATAGAGAGACATTATGCAAGCAGCAATTCCAAGCTTCTGGAGGGAAAACCTCCAAAGGAGGGTTTTGCTTTGTTTGTGTCCAAGGTAACCAAGAGCTGTGGAGTTGGGTGGGGCCCTTTCTAGGGTGACCCCTTGGCAGCTGCTGAGTGGTGACTTGGTCCTGGGCTTTCCTTCTTAGGGGAGATGGGCCATCCTGTCTCCACTTGCAATCACCAGAGGGCTCATCTTACACCTGGCCTCCTCATTTCCCCTCACTTCTTGGAGTTTTTTAGAAATGAAGAAAAGTTAATTAGATTGAATCAAAGGAATATGGTGTCAGGAGCTTCAAAGGGCAGGTTTGCTTGGGGGCTGCCATGCATCGAGCCACGTGTGGACGCACAGGAGGCCAGGGGGAGGTCCACCTTTTCAGCTCACCTCTCTCCCGCCTGGTAGTTAGGATGATCCTTTCCAATCCTACCTTCTTTGGTCCAGGGACCCTCCCTGCCCAGTGTGGATGGATGGGCATGGTGATTACATTTTTGGAGGTAACTGCTGATTGATGAAACTCATTTGGCTCCAGATCTATCTTTGTACAATCAAGAAAGAACAAACTGTCCTTGACCGGTACCCTTGGGCTCCTGAGTTTATAACAAAGCATATGTGTGTGGAGTCACCTAAGTCTTGGTTTGCACCCTGGCTGTGTTTGTTCCTTAGCCTCTCTAGGCTTTATTTAACTGTTGTACAAATTAAGACTTTGAATATCCCAGGGTCGTGATGAAGAGCAAATGGGACATTGCATATAAAATGCAGACTTAGCACAGAGATTGGCAATCAAGTCAAGAGTGTGGCTGCTGTTGTTACTGTCATTCAGGATGATGATGCTAATGAGGATGAGGATGGCGGTGGTGGTGGTGGTCAGGAATCCAGCATGATGGCTGTGCTGATGGCTTCCTCTTTTGCCTGGGACTGGCTGCTGTTTCGGCTTTCCCAAGGGGCAACTTTGGATTGGTTTGGGTCTCATTTGTTTTATTATAAGGTGATTCTCCTTGACCAGAACTTGAAAGTTGGCCCTGGTGTTGCTCAGCCCAAGAAGAAACTAATGCTGGCCCAAAATACATTTTATTCCCTGAGTAGACCGGCCTGGAGAGTGTTTTCTGGGCCTCTGCCTCCCCGTTTCCTTGGACAATAGCCTTCTCCAGGTTTCAGGTCCTTGTTAGAAATGGCATCTGCCGTCCTCACAAGTGCACCATTGAATGGGCCACGTGCACCATTTGTGCCTCCCTTCCACCCAGCTTGCTCACGGCACAGGTTTCTGCCCTGGCTGGGGAAGCCCCTGTGCATCGAGGCTGTCTTAGGTCCTGCACCAGGGTTACTGTTAGGTGTTGGAGCCTGGGATACTTCATGTTCTGGCATATCTCAAGCTGCAGCTTCATCTCCTTCCTCTCGTGCAGCCCAATCTTCCAACGTCTTCATGAACATGGAGGGGGACTTCATGAAGCCGGTCATCAGCATTGTGGATGAGCTGCTGGAAGCCGGGGTCAATGTGACCGTGTATAATGGCCAGCTCGACCTCATCGTGGACACCATGGGTAGGAAGTGACCTGGTGGCACATGTGCAGGCAGTTTCATGGGGTGAGCTGGAAGGGAACTGGCCTCAGACATATCAGTCTTGAGGCTGAGATGTGGCAGGAAGAAGGTCATTTCCTGTTACATCCATTCAGCCTTGACCTTTATTCTTCAAAGAAGTCGGGGAGGAAGCTGCATGCAGCTGTGACCCCTCAGAGAAGCCTGGGCTCTTCCAGGTTTTGAGGTCCAGAGGTATGATTAAAGGGAAAACCACACCTGCCCCACTGAAAAAACAGAGACACTTTCCTGGCTATTGAGCGAGTGCACCTTGATTGAGGGAGACCGTGTTGCTGTGCAGTGTTGCAGTAAATGTGGCAAAACACTGCAGACTGCAAACTAAACCTCACCCCTCTAGCCCCAGGGGCCTAGGGGAAATGGTCTCTGTGGATTCCTGACTGCCTGCTGCCTGTTGCCGGCCTGCCACGTGCTTGCTTTTGATTCCAGTGGGGCCGGCAGAGGCTTGGGCACAGGTTCTCAGAGCCGTCAGGCACATCAAGGCGCGTGGTCTTGATGCTGGCAGTATTGGCTGTTCTTGGGACTTGTGATCCAGGGCACTAAGGATGGTCGAAAGCATCTGCATTTTTTCCACAGCCTGCCCAGGTGTCATTCATGTCCTGGCTCATTGCTGAGATGTCTTGCTCTTCCTGCCAGCTCTGTCAGCTCCAGAGGTCCCTGGGTCCCTTCCTCATGAGCAGATAGTGGTAGGAAGGTCAGGCAAAAATAGCTCCACAGCTGTTAGATTTCTGAACGCCAGCCTCAGCCTCACCAGGGACCTGTTGGAAATGCAGCTGCGCAGGCCCCACCACAACCACTGAGTCAGACTCTGCATTTTATCCAGTTCCCTGGGCATTGTATGCACCTCATTGTCTGGCAAACACCAAACTATAGGACCTAGATTTTTTTTCCCTTCGTAATTCACCAGCTGTTAATATGGGGTCCTTTTCTTTGTCTCTTGACAAACAGGTCAGGAGGCCTGGGTGCGGAAGCTGAAGTGGCCAGAACTGCCCAAATTCAATCAGCTGAGGTGGAAGGCCCTGTACAGTGACCCCAAATCCTCTGAAACATCTGCTTTTGTCAAGTCCTACAAGAACCTGGCTTTCTACTGGATTCTAAGAGCTGGCCACATGGTGAGAAAGAAAGTGTCAGGTTTTGTCCCAAGCTTAAAATCATCCCAAGAGGCAAGCAGTGGGCAGTTTATTATGTGTGTGCCCACTGTCCGGCATGGTCTCATTAAAAATCCTTCAGGCGTGGGAGTGTTCTGAGTTCTTTAACAAAATTCTGCTTACAGGGTGAGAATCCGGAATCTGAAAATTCAAAATGCCAGATGCTCTAAAGCCTGAAATTTCTTGACCACAGACGTGATGCCACAGTGGGAATTCCACACCTGACCTTATGTGACAGGTTTCAGTCAGAATGCAGGCACACAAAAGGCATTGTAGAAAACTCCTTTTAGGCTATGTGTATGACATAGGTGAGCACCTTGGTTAGATGTGGGTCCCGTTGCCAAGACTTTCATTATGTGTAATGCAGATATCCCCCAATCTGGGAAAATCTGAAACATTTCTGGTCCTGAACATTTTGGATAAGGAATACTTCATCTAGATAGTGCCTGATTCCTTTGGGATTGAATAAAAACCCTCATTTTAAAAAGCAAACCCTCCAGAGACAGTTAAACTGGGCTATCTATCCTTTACACTTTAGCTTATGTGAATTAATCAGTTACTTTCCTTTTAACCATCTGTCCTGAAGGAACAGTTTGTCTTGGGGCAAGGAAAGGGGAGAAATTTTCTGTCCTTGATCATTTTCAGGCAGTGGAAATCAAAGTTGGATGCTCTGAAAAGCCGAGTCACAGAGCAGGGCACAAGGCAAGGGGTGTCTCCAGGCACTGGGGGCTTCAGGATTTCTTTGGGTGCAGAGATGGGCCAGGAGGCCACCTCCCTCTGCATGGTTACAGGCTGATGAGTAGCTTTCCTTGGGCTAAGGGAGATGAAGGGGACCTCAGTCTTGCTCCCTTCCCCACCCCACACTCACACCTGCAAAGGAGAAGGTAACATGGGAGCTGGCAGAAAGGCCCAGATGCTCCCTTCACTGTTACACCTGGACTGGCCACTTGTGTACATATTCTCTCTTCTTTTTTAAAGTTCATTTGTATTTACTTAGGAGGTGGAGACACAGAGAGCAAGAGAGACAGACAGAGCTCCCGTCCTCTGGTTTACTCTCTCAATGCCTGTAATGGTTCCTGGCCAGGGGCCCAGATTGAGAGCCAGGGACTCGATTCAGATCTCCCACATGGGTGCATGGGACTCAGCTACTTGAGCTATCAGCTGTTGCCTACCAGAATGTGCGTTAGCAGGAAGCTGGAAGCAGGAGCAGAGCTAGGACTTAGGCCCTTCAATATGAGAGTGGTGTTTACTACATCAGATGCCCATCTAGCAGGGTCCCAGGATTTCTGTCTCCTGTATGCTGTGAGGTTCCTACCTTCTGGCCTCCGCTCCCGAGCCCTGTATGCCCAAGGACATAATGTCCATCTAGAAGGGACTGAGGAGCAGAAACTAGGCTCTGACATGTGGCTGGGGAACAGGGCTTACAGCTGTGTTTGCACAGTGAGCACAACTGTGTTTACTTGTTTGGCAGAGGAGATGCAAATAGAGGTTATGGGGGCACCACAGGGCCTGCTCCAAGCCACTTCTTAGGGACACAGTGCTTCTCAGCCAAAGTTGATTTTGTCCCAGGGGACTTGAATGTCTGCAGATACTTGCATACTTGCTTGTCACAGCTTGAGGAAGGAGAGGTGGTGCCACTGGCATGTACGGGTAGAGGCCAGGGATCCTGGTGAACATCCTAGAGTGCACGGCGAAGAACTGTGCAGCGCAGAATATCAGCAGTGTCAGCCTCGGAAACCCTGATAAGAGAGGAGAGCAGAGGTTGGCCTCACAGTGTTTCCTAGACCATGGATAACTCATGATTAACCTCTCTGATCCTTCAGCTCTTCTTAAGATTCCCCAGAAGTGAAGATGCCGCAAGCCTAATTGCCCTTTGAGCAAATGTCCGAGTGTCCCTAAGTGCTCCACGCTGTGTGGTGCTGGGCATTGGGAGCGTGAAGGGGAACAGTGCACAGTCCCTCTCCTCAAAGGCCCACTGTCCGGAGCGGGGGCAGGGAACATCAGCCTGTGGGCAGTGTAAGACCCATGGAATCTTTGGCTTGACCCTCTCCAGGCAACCACAGGCAGGACTTGAAATTCAATAACTCTATAGCAAACTAATTTTTAAATTGATAATTCTGTGTAGTTGACAAATGAAGTTATAAACATCCAAGTGGCCATTGGTGGAGAAAAGGTTCCCCATCCCTGGTCTAGACAGACTGACTCTTAGTTCCTTGAAGGAAGCAATGCCCAGGTGGGAGCTGGCCCAGGGAAGTGAGGCAGCCCAAGCTTGTAGGTACAGAAGACAAGGCCCTGTGTGATGAGCAGGAGTGAGTTAGGTAAAGAGGACAGGTGTGGGAGCAAGGGGAGCAGTGAGTTCAGGGGTCACAGGAGCCTGCAGCCATTGAGGCCATGGGAGGGGGGAGGAGGATTGAGGGTTTAGACAGGAGGTGCCATGGAGCAGCTGTAAGCAAAGGAGTGAAATTATTACATTTGTCTGAGAAATAACATTCCAGAGGCAGAGGACATGGAGAAAGACGGGCTGGGGCCAGCACTGTGGTGTAGTGAGTAAAGCCGCTGCCTGCAGTGCCAGTATCCCATATGGGCACCAGTTCGAGTCCTGGCTGCTCCACTTCCAATCCAGCTCTCTGCTGTGGCCTGGAAAAGCAGTAGAAGATGGCCCAAGTCCTTGGGCCCCTGCACCCACATGGGAGACCAGATATGGGATGCAGGTATCCTAAGTGACAGCTGCCCCTACATGGTATCTTTAGTGATAGTGCCAAGGGTTTTTAGTGAAATGGGAGGCTCAGGAGGTGGGAGTGGAGAGGTTAAAGATGATGAGTGAGGGGCAGGTGTTTGTCACAGTGAGTAAGATGCCCCTTGGGGAATCTGTGTCCTGAGTCCGGAGCACCTGGGTTCAAAGTCCAGCTCTGTTCTCCATTCCAGCATTCTACTAATGCACACTCTGGGAGATAGCAGGCGATAGTGCAAGTTCTTGGGTCCCTGCCACCCACGTAAAAGACCTGTATTGAGTTCCTGGTCCCTGGCTTCATCCTGGTCCAGCCCTGTCTATTTATCGACTTTTGGGCAGTGAACCAGCAGACAGATCTCTGTTTCTCTGCCTTTCAGATAAAATGAAAATAAGTCACTGAATTTTTAAAAAAGATTTATTTGTTTATTGGAAAGGCAACATGATAGAGATCTTCCATCTGCTGGTTTACTTCCTAAATGGCCACAATGTCCAGGCCAAAGCCAGGAGCCTGGAACTCCATCCGGGTCTCCAACTTGGGCCATTTTCCACTGCCTTTCCAGGTGCATTAGCCCGAGGCTGGATTGGAAGAACAGCCAGGACTCAGACCAGTGCCCACAGGGGATGCTAGCATCGCATGTGGCAGCTTAACCCACTGCGCCACAACACAGTCTTGAAATATTATACTGTATTTCAGAAATAATGTACAATTATAGCCTGTTAATGTAAATATATATATTATATATATATATAAAATAAAATGAATGAGCAGTGAAAAGAAGCAGATGACAGCCTCCTTTAGGGTGTGGAAGAAAGACGTACACCCTTTGAAGAAAGCCTGCCAGGAGAACGAGCAAGCAGCAGGCCATGGGGTTAGAGATATGTGCTTTATAGTTCTGCATATCTGAACCTTCAGTACTGACCAGGAAGGAGCTGGTTGGAAGCAAAGCACCAGGCTGGTGGGAGAGCACAGGCCAAACTAACCCCACGCTCCTCTGCTCACCCAGGCGCCGCAGTTCCGGCCCATTGCCTCTTGTTAAATACAGAACAACAGATCAGTTGGGGGGAAGCCTTAAAATAGCCACTTCCCCTTTAGTTGAACAGATGTCATCTTCGAGTGGCCCACTGCTGCACTTGTGCCTCCTGGGGACTCTGGCTTGGCCTCAGAGTCCAGGATCCCAGTGCACCTCAGAACGTGGAACTGGGAGGTTTCAGACTTGGGACACCACCTACCTTACCCTCTTTTTGTCAAGGAGAAACTGAGGCCTGTGGCCTTCCCTCTTGATGATGTTCAGGAAGAGAGTTTCTAAAGAATTTATTTCAGGGCAGGCATTTGGTACAGTGGTTAAGACACAACTTGAGATGTCCACATCCTGTAAGCGAGTGCCTGGTTTGAGTCTTGGCTTCTCTATTTCCAATCCAGCTTCCTGCCTAATGTACATCCTGGGGGACAGTGGATGATGGCTCAAGAGACCTCCCAAAAGGGTAGCAAGGGCCCAAGTACTGGGGCCATCACCCACTGCCTTCCCAGGTGCATTAGCAGGGATCTGGGTTGGAAGCAGGGAAGCCATGGCTCGACCTGCCACTCTGATACGGGATGCCGCATTATCACAGTCATTTAACTTGCTGCGCCACAACACCGCCCCGTAGGAACAAGGTTTCAGGATGTCACTCCTGACTGCAGTCCCAGGGATGTCACAGGAGACTAACAGATGTGCTTGCTTCCAGGTTCCCTCTGACCAAGGGGACATGGCTCTGAAGATGATGAAGTTGGTGACTCAGCAAGAATAGGACTGACGGCTGGAGATGAGCTGGGTTGATCTCAGTTCAGGAGCTGAGCCCGCGACCCTGGAGCAGTGGGAGTCAGCCATGTTCCTTCAGCTTGACCTAGGCTGTGCTTGGGAAGTTTCCCCCAGCCTCAGCAGAGGATAAAGTGTTGCCCCAGGACAAGCTGGAAATCAGTTCTGCTTAAGAAAACTGAAGTTCTTGCAGAATGGGCTTGTTTTTATCAAAATGAAGGATTATAACAGATTAACTTTTCCTTATTACAAAAGCAAATGATGTGATTTGTACAAACAGTGGGAAATTAAGGTAAACAAAGAACAAAATAAACACTCGTGTGCAGGGACAAGCACTGTTACCAATATGGTAGAAACCATGGCAGGTCCTTTTTTGCTATGTAGACATATATATTTTTTACAAAGATTGAATCGTCATATCCTGTATGCTATTGTGCTGTCTGCTTTGTTCACACATCACTGTGCCCAGGCGCCTTTCGTGGCAGTAAGTGTTCTGAGACAGCTGAGTGGCTGCTGAGTGCTCGGTTTCATGGTTGTGCATGTTTATTTACTGCAGCCCCAGCTGTTTCCCACAAGTAATTTCTGGTTCATCCCAACCGTAAACAGTGCTCTGTGATTCATTCTGATGGTTACGTGTGTCTGCACATTCCTGTTACTCCCTGACGGTAAACTCATAAATGTATAATTGTTTAGGCAAAGGATTTTACAATTATTTATTTATGTATTTTCATTTTTTATTTGAAAGGCAAAGAGAAGGAGAGAAAGGTCTTCCATCCACCACTTCACTCCTCAAGGCCAGAGCTGAGAGTCCAGAACTCCATCTGGGTCTCCCTCAGGGGTGGCAGGGACCCAGTCACCTGTCGCCTCCCAGCACGCACACTATCCAGGAGCTGGAATTGGAGGCAGAGGTGGGAGTCAAACTCAGGTGGTCTAATGTGAGATGCAGACCTCCCAAGTCCTAACGGTTACTCCAAACACCTACCTCTACCCAAAGCATTGCCACATTTTAAGATTAATGTTTAGGACTTTTTTTTTTTAAAAGGCTTTATAATTTTTTTTTTAATATGACAGAGAGGGGGCTACCATTCATTAGTTTACTCCCCAAATGCCCACAATGACCACTGCCTTGATACTGGGAGCCAGGAACTCAGTCCAGCTCTCCGATGTGGGTGGCAGGGTCCCAAGTACTTGAGCTCTCACCTGCTGCCCCCAGGTTGTACGTTAGCAGGAGGCTGGAATCGGGAGCAGAGCCAGGACTGGAACCCAGGCACTTTGATATCCCAAGCAGTATCTTATCCACGAAACAAAACACTGCCCCTGCAGTCAGTCCTGGTAAATCACCAAATCAAGCCCTGAATTCCAGCACAAACTGGATTCCCAGGTGCACTGGGAGCGCTCTCTTCTGTTGGGAGGAAATGTGATTCTGGGCATTGAGATGGGTCATAAGGGCAGTCTGCAGTGAAGCTGGGGACTGCAAACCCTTCTGGCCACCGGAAGCAGCCCTTTCATCCTGCCTGAGGTCAGTCTTGCCCCAACACCCTATGATTGATTCTTGGACTTGCTCATGAACTCTGTCCCTGCTGTAAGACACTGTCAACCTACACTCATGCCTTCATGGGGAAGATCGCTCTTGGGCTTGGCCTACTCTGCACAATGTGCATGTATGTTTCGAGAGTACTCAACTATGGCCCCCATTTCCCACTCTAGGACAGTCCTGAAAGAGGTGAGGGGAAATTCTGTTAGTAAACAGAACCTAGAGCAATGGCTGTTCATTTGGCCTGGAATGGGAGATGGCCAGAATGGGTTTTCACCAAATCATGGTTTGGCTGGGTAGTCAGAATTGGGAGAAATATGACTGGGAAATTGAGGACAAAAGTATAAGGATAGACTGCTCTGAAAAGCAGAATACGAACATATTTGCATCTCATGTGAATGCTCACCAAAGGATAAAGGGAGATTTTTTTTTAAAGTTTATTTTATATATTTGAAAGGCAGAGTGATAGATCTTCCAATTGCTGGTTCACCCTCCAAAAGCCCTGGCTAGGCCAGGATGAAGCCAGGAGCTGGGAACTCCATTTGAGTCTCCCACATGCGTGGGCCAGCATTGGCTGCCTCCCAAGTGCGTTAGCAGGAAGCTGGATGGAAGCAGAGTAGCTGGGACTTGAACCGACACTGTGAAACGGGATGTGAATGATACAAACAAGGGTCCAATATTAATAATCAGGTGGATAGGGTGAACTATCTGTGGACATCAGTCCCTTCCAGCCACTCGTATGGACTCCTGAGCCTTGGAAGCAGGGATGGAGGTTGTGCGTGGGCTCAGCAACATAGATGTCCGCTCTTCAAGACTTACTTAATTCCTCAGTGTGGCTGTGTTGGGAGGTGGTGCCTAGTGGGAGGAGTTTGGGTCATGGGGGAGGAGCCCTCATGAATGGATTAATGTTGTCTGGCAGTATTGAGTGAGGGGTCATTCTGGGACCGGATTAGCTCCACCAGAGGGCGCTACAATAAAGGGAGTGTGGCTTCCAGGGCTTTCTCTCGGGTCTTTCACCATAGGATGCCTGGCACAATGCCCTCACCAGAAGCTGAACAGGTATCAGCACCATGTTCTTGCACCTCCAGAATTATGAGCCAGAAATAGACCTCTTTTCTTTGTAATTGCTCACACTCAGGTATTTTGTTACAACAACAAAAAATAAACTAAGGTAGTTAACAAATACTAGCTGTGATCCCACGCCTTGTCGAAACAAGGACTGTTTCTTCCTGATTTTGATGTGAATCTATTTCAGCAAATATTAACCAAGCATTTTTGCTTTCCTCTCCTTTCCTATTCTGTAATAATCTAAGATGGGCTAAGAGCATACAATTTTCTGTGTAAGCATTCATTTTACAAAATGTCAAGGAGGGATTGTCAATGAATCAAGAAAAGAGTGATCATTGTCCAAAGACGAAAAAAGGAATTCTGGTGCTCTTTTAGGGAGAAGGATAGTTTTAAGAGGGATAGTGGTGGTGCTGGCATTGTGGCAAAGAGAGTTCTGGCTGCTCTGCTTTTGGTCCAGTTCCCTGCTGATGTGCCTGGGACACAGCAGATGATGATTCAAGTAGTTGAGTCCCCTCCACTCATGTGGGAAACCTGCATGGAGCTACAGGCTCTTGGCTTCGGCCTTATCGAGTCCTGACCATTGTGGCTATTTGGGGAGAGAGTCAGCAGATAAAAAGAGCTCTCTCTGTCACTCTGCCTTTCAAATAAATGGGAAAAAATGTATAAAAGGGACAGTAGTATCATGTTAAACAGAAGTGTGACTCTGCTCATAAAATGTGGAGATAAAGTATGGTTTAAGGGGACAGGGATGGTAGCGCATTGACAAGGGGTGAATTGTGGGGTCTTTATCACGTTTCTACTTGCCTCAGCTGAATTACACAGTCCACAATCACCTTTCCTGTATGCTTCTGACTCGGGTGACCCACAGAGGGGTTCCTGTGGGGATGCGGAAGATGGAAGGGAATAGCCCTTTTTAGCTCAGATGAGTTGTCATCTTTCTGCTGGCTCAGCTTGTCAGCAGCCAGGTCTGCACCTGCTCCCTGTTCCCTTGGCTCCTCCTGGGCCAGGTGAGCGTGCTTAGCGCTGTGAAGCAGCGCCAAGACCTGGCACTCGCTTCTGCTTCGTGGACGGTCCCAGGGACTCCGCTCGTGCATGAGAGTCACACTGCACTTGCTCCTTTCCACGTTACATTCACGGTCCCGCCTAACTGCTGGCTCTGTGGACTTCAAGCTCCCACATCTGATTCGGAGATGCCAGCTGTACAAAGACTGCCTAACAGCTTCCACACAGTCAAGTCCCTGTAACACAAACAGCACACATGTGCACACACACACACACACACACATTCACTTACAACTTAATTCTACTTCTCTGATCGAATCCTGGTTGATCTCACTATTAAAACCTAATCATTGGCTGGCGCCGCGGCTCACTAGGCTAATCCTCTGCCTTGCGGCGCCGGCACACCAGGTTCTAGTCCTGGTCGGGGCGCCAGATTCTGTCCCGGTTGCCCCTCTTCCAGGCCAGCTCTCTGCTGTGGCCCAGGAAGGCAGTGGAGGATGGCCCAAGTCCTTGGGCCCTGCACCCCATGGGAGACCAGGAGAAGCACCGGGCTCCTGCCATCGGATCAGCGCGGTGCGCTGGCCGCGGTGGCCATTGGAGGGTGAACCAACGGCAAAGGAAGACCTTTCTCTGTCTCTCTCACTGTCCACTCTGTCAAAAAAAACAAACAAACAAACAAAAAAAAACCCTAATCATTATTAACAGATTCAAAATTCCCCCCAGATGGAACCTGCTTATTGGGTCGTGCCCTGCTGCTGCCTGCACGCATGAGCAACAACTTGACCTGATCTGGAACCCCGCAGCCACAGCTTTCCTCATGGCTGCATCAAGTGTTGCTGAGAAATTTGAAACCAGCTCGCCTTCCTTTTTGTTTTGTAAACAATCAGTTTATTTTAATATCTGGAAGTTGGGAACGTCTGTGTTTAATCTTGTCACGTGATAACTTCAGGTGGGCACACTGGCGGTTGCAGTTTTTAATTAACTTCGCCTAATATGTGTGAGGTTTTGCTGCTCAGGTTGGCGCTTCGGTTCAGCGATGTTTTCCAGTATACAGACTCAAATGTTGTTTCAGATTGTTCCCCCACTTTTTTGTCTTGCTGCTTTCATTCTGGATAGCTTTTCTCAAGACTGCCAACAACACAGCTATTTCATGTTCAGTAATGTCACGGCCATGCTTTGAGTTTCTCCGGTGCTTTTAAATTCTATAATTACTTTTCTCCTTCATTTATTTTCTCTAGTTACCCCAGCTGCTGTTTCATCTCATCTCCTTTTGTTATTTTATCAACTCCATATTTGCTTTAATTTCCTTGACAGGGAGTAAAGTATTTACTGTTTGCTAGTGCAAATCATCCAAACAATGTTCCTCAACCATTTTTTTTAAAGATTTATTTATTTGAAAGAGTTACAGAGAGAGAGAGGGAGAGAATTTTTCATCCACTGGTTCACTCCCCAAATGGCTGCAATGGCCGAAGCTAGGTCAGTCCGAAGCCAGGAGCCAGGGACTTCTTCTGGGTCTCCCATGTGGGTGCAAGAGCCCTAGCACTTTGGAAATCTTCCACTGCTTTCCCAGGAGCATTAATAGGGAGCTGGATCAGAAGTGGAGCAGCCAGGATTCGAACTGATTCCCATATAGGATGTCTGTGCTGCAGGTGGTGCTTTACCTGTTATGCCACAGTGCTGGCCCCTCAACTAATTCTTTTCAAGATTTATTTATTTACTTGAAAGGTAGAGTTACAGAGAGGCAGAGACAGAAGCAGAGAGAGAGAGAGAGACAGAGGTCTTCCATCCATTGGTTCACTCCCCAAATGACCACAATGGCCAGAATTGGGCCAATCTGAAGCCAGGAACCAGGAGCTTCTGCATGGTCTCCCACACAGGTGCAGGAAGGGGCCCAAGCACTTGGGCCATCTTCTACTGCTTTCCCAGACCATAAGCAGAGAACTGGGTTGGAAGTGGAGCAGCTGGGTCTTGAACCAGCACCAATATGGGATGCTGGCAGTGCAGATGGGGGCCTTACCCACTATGCCACAGCGCTGGCCCCTCACCCGAGGCTCTTGACATGAGCTGCCAAGACTATAGAAGCCTTTTGAGTCC